ACACATCTATCTGTTTCCTCCCTCACCGCGCACCCCGACTGGGGCCGGGGATTGAGCCTGCAACCGAGGCACATGCCCTTGGCCAGAATCGAACCTGGAACCCTTCATTCAGAGGCCGGCACCCTGACCACTGAGCCAAACTGGCCAGGGCTTTCATTCTTATTTATTAGGAGTCATTATGTAGGTTGCAGGAATGTTGTGAATTAAAAATATGTTTAGATTTTTTTTTTCATTCTGATTCACTAAGAACCACTTAGCTTGCAGAGAGGTTATGAGTTTAAGAGCATGCTTTTAATTGTGGTTGAGATAGTGACCACAATGCAATTATCAGTTTATTGACTTAAGAATAAGCTTATAATGGACTTTGCTATTTTAGTCAATTCCTTAGCTTGACTATAATATATTACTTTCATAATATCAATTTAAATCAGTGAAATGACATGTTTTATAGTTATATCTACATGTATGTAATAATTGATGTTGTTAATTTACAATTGCTCATTGATTATGTAGTTGTATTTTGATTTATTTACTTAAAAAATTAAAAATAAATCCCCAAGATGTGATATCATTCTTGATGCAGTGCAGGATAAAAGTATACACTGCATATTACAGAGCACTATTTAAAGAGGAAAGTGTTCTACTCACTTCATAGCAACTATTTGCAAAATAAGATTTTGGGGTTTAATATCGGTTTAACTGTTCAGCCAGCTGAATATCAAGGACTCTATTCCTTCAAAATAAAGAAATCTGGTGACAATATTTAAAGCCATATTTTTAGTTTAACTTTCACCTTTGTTAAACTACCAAAAAACAGACCACTTTTGAATTAATTGCTCACCAGCCCCCTTTTTCTCAACCGTGTTTCTGTCTCTAAATATGATCCTTCATTTACCAGGGATTTATTTCCTAGGGATCAGGTGTCTCAGCCAAGAAAGACATTATTCTGAAGGTCCCTAAATGGTGACAGAGGTGGTGGCCATGGACAATACCTGTGGCTCAACCATTAGCTACAATTGATGTTTTTGTTATTAATAAGTCAACCAAAAAGCTACCAACTGCCATTGTAATTGTAGCTGGTGAAACCACATATGTTCCCAGAGGGCACAGAGGTCAACATTTGATAGGCAGGCATAAAATATGCAAGTGCCTTATCTTCATGGTGTAACATTTCTTCCATCTTTGAGGGTCAGTTTTCACAACTTTCAGAATTGATTCCTTAAAAATGCCCCCTGCACACTTAAATTATGGAAACTGTTGGCAGTTTTTATTTGTTTTGCTTTTATTTAAAATACAGCCATTTGGGAAGGGAAGCTTCTGAATGTACAATGTGATATATGTGTATATA